ACCCCTGTGGCCATTCGCAGCCACGCGCAGCCACTTGCAGCCACTCGAGTGGCCGCAAGTGGCCGCTTCACCGACAACGGCCTCTTGCAGCCAATTGCAGCCAACCCCTGCGGCCATTCGCAGCCACTCGCAGCCACTCGCAGCCACTTGAGTGGCAGCAAGTGGCCGCAAGTGGCCGCAAGTGGCCACTTCACCGACAACAGCCTCTTGCAGCCAAGTGCAGCCAACCCCTGTGGCCATTCGCAGCCACTCGCAGCCACTTGCAGCCACTCGAGTGGCCGCAAGTGGCCGCTTCACCGACAACGGTCTTGCAGCCAAGTGCAGCCATTCGCAGCCACTCGAGTGGCCGCAAGTGGCCGCAAGTGGCCGCTTCACCGACAACGGCCTCTTGCAGCCAATTACGGTCAACCCCTGCGGCCATTCGCAGCCACTCGCAGCCACTCGAGTGGCCGCAAGTGGCCGCGAGTGGCCGCAAGTGGCCGCGAGTGGCCGCTCCTCCCAAGTGGCCGCAAGTGGCCGCAAGTGGCCGCTCCTCCCAAGTGGCCGCAAGTGGCCGCTCCAGACAAATCCGAGCGAGTGGCCGCAAGTGGCCGCGAGTGGCCGCTTTCGGCCAAATCAATTTCCACCCTCAAAGCAACCCCCCTGTATATATATATATGAGTGGCGGACAAAATTATTTGTCCCCGTAATTGCCACAGGCAAAACTGGGTCGTCCCCTATCGGTTGTGAAGATTTTCGCTCTTTGATAATATCCGGTAGAAAATGCTGCTCGTTGCACTAATACAAGTAGAAGTAAAAGTAACAATAGAAGTAGAAGAAGAAGTAAAAGTAGTAGTGGTAGTAGTAGTAGCAGCAAGGGTAGTAGCATTAGTAGCAGCAGCAGCAGCAGCAGTAGTAGTAGTAGTGGTAGTAGTGGTAGTAGTGGTAGTAGTGGTAGTAGTCGTAGTAGTCGTAGTAGTCGTAGTAGTAGTAGTAGCAGTAGTAGGAGTAGTAGTAGTAGGAGTAGTCGGAGTAGTAAGATTAGTAGGAGTAGTGGAGTAGTAGGAGTAGTAGGAGTAGTAGGAGTAGTAGGAGTAGTAGTAGTAGTAGTAGTGGTAATAGTGTGGTAGTAGTGTGGTAGGAGTAGTAGTAGCAGTAGTAGTAGTAGTCGTGATGGTAGTGATGGTAGTAGTAGTAGTAGTAGCAGTAGGAGTAGTGGAATAGTAGGAGTAATAGTAGTAGGGGTAGTAGGAGTAGGAGTAGTAAGAAGAGCGGTAGCAGCAAAAATAATAAGTGGGAAATAATCTCGGCAAGTGAGAATAAATGCAAAAATGGGTATCGGTTAGTATCGGTTGGGGTATCGGTGAGAATGGTGCGTAAATCGCCGCAAACAATATGTTTCGTTCTCTCCAAGAGAAAACGAATTAAGGATAGTTGTTTATAGCCCTGTTTATAACCGTTGCTGTAGAAAAAAAGTACCCTAGTGCAGATTATTGTGGGAACGTGTTGGAATCTAGGGGTATCGGTGTTGGGTCGTCCCCTATCGGTTATAAAGGTTTCATAAAGGCAAGCAAAGTTCGAGGCAGCTCTCTACTACTTTCAAATACTAATAATTTTGTCGGATACTCATATATTCCCGTCAAGCCGCACAATATCCTTGTCCATATCCTAGTAATCCCCGTGTGTATATCCATCAACATCCGTCTTATCAAATAATGTCCGTGCAATATCCGTACAATATCCATACTAATATCCTCCAAATATCTATATTCATATTCATACCAATATTTTCAAGGAAATATCGATATATATATATATATTATATTCGCACTAATATCCGCATAATATCCAATTAGATATCCTCACCGATACCTGCGACCATATACATCTAATATCCGCACAATATTCGCACTCATATCGTATCAATTATATAAAAATTATTTAAATATTGAATATATTTTTTAAATTTTTTTATAAATAATTCAGATCCTTAATAATATAATTATTTAATAATATTTTATTATATCTTAAAAAATAATTAATAAATATATATATATATAATTTTTTTTTCTCCACCTGCCAGGATAGGATTGTTAGATTTTATCAGAATTATTCTTCCGCCTTGTCCTCCTCCACCTCCTCCTTTTCCAGCTCCTCCAATTTTTCCTCGATTATGTCTGCATCAATTTCCACGTCCACTCCCGCCTTGCCAAGCCAATTCTTCGCCAATCTCTTCGCCAACTTCCGCGCGCAATGGGCACTGCTGGACCTCAACTGCCGGCTTCGGCCTTGCTAACTCGTCGCCAATATTTTCGCCAATTTCCGCGCGCAGTGGGCACTGCTGGACCTCAACTGCCGGTTTCGGCCTTGCTAACTCGTCGCCAATTTCTTTGCCAATTTCGGCGCGCAGTGGGCACTGCTCCTTTTTGCGCGCAACCCATATATAGCGATTGTGAAAACCCTAGGTTCACGGAAAGGACATCCACAAATTTGGGAAGGTCCCATCGCTTACCACACGTTTGTACAACAATGATATATGGTAAACTTGGGGGGTATCGCTTGCAGGAAACTGCTGCATTTATATATACGCATATAAATGTGATGAACTATGAATAATATGTGATATTTGGGTATCGCTAATGTGGATATTAGAAAAATATGATGACATAACCTTGAAAAGGGGCATCGCTAATTTGGGAAGGTCCCATCGCTTACCTCGTGTTTTTAACAATTTCCATCAATTTCCATAAACCAATGTCCGTCGAATACATATTTAGTATTGTCGGGGTTTTTACGGTTGCTCATATATAAAATTTATTTTTCGTATTTATAATCCGCTCTAAATAATATTGGATAATTAATTTTCACAATCGCCCCCATCCCCTTGATTTCCCCTGTTCACCCCCCACCCCGTCCATACTTTACCACAGCCACAGGGGGGAAAAATACAGAATTTGCACATACACACTATTTATATAGGGACCATCCCTATCTCGGGGACGCTGGATTTATTACATAATTATTTATTATACAAGAAGAAGATATTACAGGACCCATGCCAAATACAACAAATTTATCATAAAACATATTCAAATCGGCAGAAATTCAAAAGAATTGGAATTAGATCATATTCTTAAAAATTATTGATGGAGGCTCGTATTTGGCGGGATTCAACCGTTTACGATCCATTATCTTCCGACGTGCAGCAACAATTTGTGTGCTACATAGATCCCGATGGAATTCTTTCCGATGCCTTTCTAATAGTTTTCCAATATTATATATATTAATATCTTGAGGTAGGAAGGTATTGCATTAGAAAGTAAAAAACGGGAAGGGATTCATAAAAAGGAATTGAATTGGGAAGGGATTTGACAGGCATTGGCAAGGTATCAAGAAGGCATCGAAGGCATGGGGAAGGTATGAAAATGGCATCAAGAAAGCATCGCGAAGGTATTGCATCTGAAAATATCGGAAAGGCATCGAAAAAATATCGGAAAGCATTGGGAAGGCATCGCGAAGGCAGCGGGACGATCGGAAGACCCGTACCAACAAAATCTAGCAAATTGCAGATTGTATCCATGTTTTATTTAAGATCATTCTAGGAAAATTACAAAGAGTGCCCATTCTGAAAAATCAATTGGAAAACCTGCCGCATTCAGAAAGTCAGAGCATCTGGGGGCATGGTTGTAAAATTTGAGGAAATACAAAAACCTCGGGCTTTGTTTTGAATTTGAAACCTTGGGTTTTCAGTGTCACCCCAGAATTTTTGCGGGGTTCAGAGGGTCGAAGGTATACATACAGTAAAAATCTTAGTTTTCCTTCCTCCTGCCTACTGATATTTTGATTGGTATTTTCTTTTTATTTCATACTATGACTATGATTGAATTTTATGCCCTTTTCAGCGCAGCAAAAACCCCAGCTGTTGCGAATCTCCCCCCGCTATTCGCTCGGTGTCCGGTGCCGAAAAGAAGACACCCAGAAAGGATTCTCCCGAGCAAGATGGAGGAATTATGAGGAATGAGCTTTTCCAGATACCCTCTGGTCATTTAACAGTTTGCTATTGAAAATTGCCATTTATAGTGGATTTATATGGATTTATCCATTGAAAATTGTGATTTTCAATAGCACATGTGACAAATTACCAGAGGGTACCTCTGTTTCAAACAGAAGACCTTGCACGTAGAAAAAAAAAAACGAAGAATTCCCTGCAATATGAACAAATCATAAGAAATTTATCCATCAGTTCTCGGGAGTTGCGACACCATTGAAGCATCAAACAAAACCACAGTGGTTTTACTCTAAAACAAACGCCAGTCTCTGGAAAGTTTGATGACCAAGAAGCATGACATCTTCAAAGTCGTTGGGCTAGAAACGAATGTACGCCAATGGACATAGATTTTCATAGTTTTTCTCGCTTTCCCGACCTGGCAAGACTTCCTGGCAGCTGCATCGATTTGCGCTTCAGATTTGCCCCCGCAACTGAGGATGATCCAACCGAAGATACTGAAGTTCGTATTGGTACTTGGGTATCCAATATATCACTTACAAGGGATCACACACCAGTGATCCTCCGATACATCATGTATTTTGTTCTGCAAAACCAAAAAAAAATTACGTTGCCGGGTTTATCCAGTGACTTGAAGATTTAGGGACCCCAGAATGAGGCAACATACCCTTGGCGCAACCTGCAATCCTCTTCAGCTGAAACATGAAGTTGAGAAAAACCGTCCGTTTCGATTCCCTGAAGGCAGACAATCCAGCCTCATCGAGCTTCAAATGGTGTATCCAGTCTTGGCCTAAAATCCCTGCGTTTGGTGGTGAAGACCTCTTTTTTCTTGGGTTCACATATCATATACCCTCTGGTAAACTAACATAACTATGGAAAATCACCATTTTTCATGGGAAAATCCACTATAAATGGGTTATTTTCTATAGCAAACTGTTAAATTACCAGAGGGTATCCTCAGTTCTGTGGAAGACCAAGTGATCAAATAAGGCAAATTTTGATCATTCCATAGGGGTCAAACCTGCCTCAGCTGCTGCAGTGAAGGCTTCCATTAAGGCAGCACCGCGTCGAGTGAGCTCCTGGCCATCCATATCCATCTTGCTCGTTTTGCTTACAACCTATATTTGTATATAATATTATATAATATTTAAATACATCAATATGTCGGATCTTTCACCATCCTCAATTTTTGGAACACGAATCCCAGTCCCATTGAAATGCATGGTTTTTATCATGGATATTCCGTTGTGTATCTCCATGATGATCATATATCAAGATCCAGTTCTCTATCTCTATGTCCAATGTCTATGTATCGACTAGTAGAGAAAAATTGCATATGACCCGCTGGGTGGGAGATCAGTCTGAAGAATTGGTCATTGTTTGGGGACTTCAAACCGTCCAATTACTGGGTAAATAACATGAACCTTCGTTCATAGTCAGCTGCCGTTGGGATCCACTCTGTTCAAATTGCCCATGTTACAACTAATTATGTATTCATGATGTGCGGTTTGCCCATCATCCGTTCCGGTCACGTGTTGCTATAGAAAAATCATGCTTTGTCGGTTTTACAGATCTCCACGGTTGGTGACAAGGTGCCATTTCATGGATGATAGCCCGCATACAACAATAATCTAACATTGTTTTATTTTCCCTAAGCAAATCTGCGATCCCTAACAAAGGACCCATCAATCTACAGTTCACCGTGCGCAGGTTCCTCAGTTGGTTACAGCTGTCCTCAGTTCTATCCGTTACAGTACTCACTTCTTTTGTTCAATATCTCCACAGTCGCCATGACCCCTTCACCCAAATGACTCCAAATGCCCACTTTTATTGGTTAAATCAACATTAAATCAATTCAAACAACCGTTTTTTTGATCTATTTTGATCTATTTTGATCTATTTTGATATGTTTTGATCTATTTTGTATGAATACCCACAGCACCTGGTGCTTTACTCACTTTCAACTGACCTTTTGATCAAGTTTCACTCCTGTCGAACCGCCGAAGGGGGCGACTCTCGGGATGCGATTTTCACGCGCCTCACAGGGAGTGAACCAATCCCCAATCATATCAACAATATCAACATCCAACCAACCTGAAAAGGGATATGCTGGGTATATCTGGGTCATAATATAAAATAATATATATGGAGATATTATCATCAAATCTATGTATGTATGTGTGTATATATATACATATATATACACATATATATATATACATATATATATGTGTAGATATATATATATATACATATATATATATACTGTATATGTCAATGGAACATGTGTGGAAGTATGGGGAGAGTGTGACCTCTAGTAGCTATTGGACATGGCCATCCTACTGAGATTCTTCAGGTCATTGTGATCCTTCACCAAGGGATGTCCATGCCCTGTAGTCGATTAACATACCCCTAAATGTTCTGCTTGGTGGTTGACCTACCCCTCTGAAAAATGTTAGTCAATGGGGATGATTATTCCCAGCATATGGAAAATAAACAATGTTCCAAACCACCAACCTGAAAGATCTACTGGATCTACTGGAAATTTGGCAGCTGCAACCAATATGGTTGCTCAAATTGATGCTTTATGCCTCGAAAGAATACAGCTTCAGAGAACAATTCATTAATTAGACTTAATTAGTAGATTCACGAGCAAAAGTGAGGATTAATTAACACTAGTGGGTCTCTATCAAACATGGGGTCAAATAATCATCAACCATCGGGATTTTTCACCAAGATCGCCGGACCGGACCTCCCGATGACTCCCGGTCCAAGCAGATGGTTTGATACGACACATGAATAAACCATGGGTTGTCCTGGTTTTTCTATGTTTTTCTTGGTCCAAGTTTGAAGTCACACCACTTTTCGGATCTGAAAAGGACACCAAACATCGCCTGGCGCTGCTTCCAGTCGTGCTTCCTGTAGATGCCTCGGCGGAAAGCCAAGAACTAAGGACATCCTCCCTACCATGGATTACAATTTGACACGTTCATCGTTGATCCATGTCCCAAAGGTGCATTCTCTTAGCAATTCTTGTTTCGTTGAATCCTCCCGCTGGTTAGATCGCTCTCATGGATTTCCCAGACTGCTAATTGGCTGCTCCAAATATGCTGCTAATTGCTCCTAATTGCTCCGACCAAGGCCAAGGAATAAGCATTAAGGGCAACTTCAACATCAAGGAATCAAGGTCCATTTCTACACCAAGGGTCCAGTGCGACACTAAGGCAATGGCCTCGCGACATCGCCGCACACTATGTACTTCGCCTGAGGTGATGTTCCCCTTTAGGCTTTTTTTACGGCCACTTGTTGCTGATATCTGCTCGATTTGATCTGGAGTCTTCATTCACAAGTCTTGTTATCTTGTTGCTTAAATTTCCACGCCTTGCCTCCTACCCACGAGGAATCGACCCTAGCAATGGACGCGTTGTAAACATGCGTATCTTCCATTGCCAAGTTCGTTTTTTCGAGGGCAGCCATTAAACAACTTAGAATTGTTTGTTGGATTTGCTTGCAATTTCCAGTATTCTCACTAGATTCCCCAAACGGATTACCACTACGGAAACAAACAGGCAAAACCGAGAAAATGTGGATTCTCATTGTTAGAACACCATTCCTGCCGAGCACTAAGTAAAGATCTGTGTACACGCAAGATAGCCCTCCCACTTAGAATAATCCCGTCCCTTAAGGGATATTCAAGCCTTGACTCACATCACATCAAATACATGTTCCATAAAATAGCCTCAAACCACAGGGCATGGAAAACCAGAGAAAACACAGTGATTAAGATGACATATTATATGATGACATATGTAATTATCACACTATCAAAAAACTGGGGATCCCCGAAACACATCCTCAAAAATCCTGCCATGTCAGCACTCAAAAAACTACAGGCAAAACCCGCAGAATCTGCGTGGCTTTGGGGCACAGACTTCTTAGCTGGTCTCGTAACTCTTGCTTCAAGTCCCTGCACCAGTGGTGCTGGTCGAGGAAAAATTCGACGCCGTGGAGGCACCGTTTTTTTACTTTTTTTGTGCACCGTGCGTTCTTTTCAAATATGTTTACCGTATATAGTATATGATAGTATATGTATGTTACTATATGTTACTGTATGTATATGTATTTTCAGTGCAAAAGACCACATAGAGAACCAACATGCAATTGGCATTTGATGAATATGTTCACTAAAAATGTTCTATATTGACTTTCAAAACGCTGCAAAGATTGGCCTCCACACCGCCCCTGTTCCGTATGTTCAATGGGGAACTCATATATATATATATATAATTGTATATATATATATGTATATTATATAAAAAATGGTCCATTTTCCATATGTATATATATATATATAGCCAATGTGAAATTACCGGAGGGTGTGCCCGCTAGTAAAGTCACATAGACCCTGAACATCGTCAATCCTTAGTGGAATGGAATCTTCCAAACCCCAACTCGTGGCACAGGTGGGCCCCGTACGCCATGACTTGATGCATGGCAATCAATGGTTGTCCCCCGGAAGGTTTCAATGTATACATAGATACTGGTTGGTGGTTTTAACCATCTTGAAACATAATTATTTGTCAATGGGAAGGATGACATCCCATATATGAAATGGAAAATAAAAAATGTTTGAAACCACCAACCAGTATAAGTCTAGTCATGTCTAGTCCAATCTATTAAATGATTATGACAGCGGGTTAAGTTGCCTGCTTCAGTTGTGACCTCGCCGGCAGTAATCAGCAACGATGCATTGTTGAGAACTACGTTACATCACGGGCCATGTCTTTCGCTAATTCGTTTTGAGCCCTACAGTACCCAACCAGGAAATCAACTTTACTCGCGCTACCACTACCACGTATGTCACCGTATGTCCTTCTCTGTCCAGGCTGCTCCATGGAAGAGCTTTGGACGCATGGAAACAGCAGCGCAGTTAAGATGACCGAAGGCTTGTCCGGGAAATATATGGAAATATCTTTGCTTGGCAAATCTTGATATTGAAGGGTGTTTTTGTGACTCAGCTTGATTGGGCATTGCCAAAAGGCGGCAATGGCAATGGGTGCTAGCGTGCAAGTCCAAAGCCAACTCCAGCCACGCCAGTCACCTCCTTTGCGAAGAACTCTTTGAAGTGTGATAGCGCCGCCAAATCGCACCTCCTTTGCGAGTCATCGACGCTAGTTCTGCGCTACAGAAGCGTTGATAAACTTTGATCCAAACGCCGCGCTGGATCACTTTCGGCATGATGTGCTGGTCACGGTAGAGTTGTCTGGTAGAAATGTCTGCCTGGTGGAAAGCTGGTGAACTCTGACCATCACCAGTTGCATCGCAGACAAAAATTGCACGTCACCAAGAGTGGGAAAGGTGCCAGTATTGACATCGGTAGCTCAGCCACAATGAAGGGCACCTGTTACACTGTTAGTGAGGAGATGCCCCCATTCATGAAATTGCACCGTTGGTCTGCCCAAGCCATCAATGTGGTTTATTTGTGGGGTACCGTAGTGGTTTGCTCACTGAACTTACTATGTTTACGTATGTGTACATATGCCTGACCAATGTTACCATTGGCTGCCCGAATCTTTCAGCTTAGCTGGTGGCCCGTGGTTCCGATAGGAAGAAGTCTCTTGTCCTGAACTAAACTTCTTTGACCACAGAATGCCCCACAGACACCCCTTGGGCATGGCTTAAGATTTCAGATCCCATAAAATCATATAAAATGTCAACATTTTCCATTTCTCAACCACACCATTTGGAAGAACCATGAGTACTCAATCTTGTATCAACGGGCCCCAAAAAAGGTCATCCCCAGCCTCCGCAAAGTCCTTCGCAATTCGCTACCTGAGCCGTTCAGCTTGGAGGGAAGCACAAAAAAACATATGGCGGTTGGGCTTCAAGGGTTTTTCACATCAGAATTTGCTATGATTTTGCTGAAATGTTACTTATGTTCATGTTTTCATGTTTTTTGGCGTCCCTTTTTTCTTGATCTGAAAAACAGTTGAAGCCGAAGCCCTGTGAAAGCGTCAATGGTCAAGTCACAAGTCCCCTTGGCCACGGACAAGGATTGCCTCGTACTTCATCACCTAGGTGCCAGCGACTGCGACTGCGTGCCACAAAGAGAAATGGAGGGCTGGAATTGTCCTGGAGGGCTTACCCTCCGGTCAACGTTTACATAGCGAACTGGAAAATCACCATGTTTAATAGGTAAAGCAACTGAAAGATTGCCATGTTCAATAGCTATGTTAAACTACCAGAGGGTACCCCATTTGTAGCAATTTTCATGGAGAAACTGATTTTCCAAAGCATGGGATTTTGGGATATTTTGGGGTACTCTATGTTCGGACAAACTATGGCAAAGCCATATCGACATATATCGACAATATAGACAATCTCCCACCGCGCGGAACTGTACAGCAGGGTCGATCTTCCCCTCCAATAAATGATGCCCATTGGAAGGCAAAAATGATGCAGAACAAACCAAAGGACTCCACTGGAAGCTGGCTATCGGCTAGATAAACCAGCCAACTTTTGTTGCTTCATGTTCTCAAGGTGTTCCCTATTAATATCCTCCATTTACAGGTTACATCCATTTGCCACCCCTACGCCCCAACTGGCTACGGATCGCGGGTAGCATGGCTCATCCCAATGTCAGTCTCCATAGTGGCTAAAACTCAAGTTTGTGATGCTTCAATTATGATTAATAACAAGTGAGCTTGTCTGTAACATAGAGTATACCCACATATACCCACAATCTATTCGTCATCATGTAATTACTTGTAAAGTCTTATAAAAATCAACCAATATTTATCAACATTAATTATCATTCACCACCGTTAACCATTGTTAACATGGCTTGTTAATTTACCAGAGTTATAAACATCCCATGAACTGAGGACTTCAGGGCGTCCCTGACACAGCGCCGCTTCGATGGACACACAGAGCTGCTTGAAGAGCTCGTGGCTGGCAGGGTGCAAACCTGCCCCAGAAAATGCTGGCTTTAGCTAGCCCAAATAATCCGAAAATGATCCAAAATGCAATCAAAATGCTGGTTTTAACACGTGTTTTAACTAAGCAAAATCGGTTTAACTAGCAGTAACCACCACAAAGATGCAAAAACAGGTTCACTTTATCACTGCCCCTAGGATTGGAGTTCACTTTTCTGCATCCGTCTGCGAGTTGCAGTAAGCAAATAATTACGAAACTTGATGATTTACCAATCATCAGTGGGGTGTCAAACCTGCGACATCCTGCGACTATGGCATACCCTAAACTGTAAACCCCGATCAGGTCTGGTTCGATAAACACTGCCATATTAAACATGTTCTTTGTGGATTAAGAGTTTGAGACCGCAAATTCGGGATTTGTATTGTCATTGCAGCTACCCTAAAGAACACACTTTGTACTCGAATTAGATCGAATTGGAGCATTGCAAATACAGGCATAATTACAGAGATTTTAATGGAAAGCATATGCTCTGCATGAAGAACTCAGAATTTGGGTCAAGAATATCAAAGGTCCTATCCGCTAGCATTTGGCTGCGGCTGTAAACCTACTGGAACCAGTTTGTTGGCACTGCGCAAGTGTGAATTTCATCTCAAGATCAAAGTCTGACTATTAATCAGCTTCTTTAGGCGTTACCACTTGGTTCAAAAAAACAATGGTTGTCTGTTGCCCTGTATCGTAGCTTCCAAGGCATTACGATGCACCCTATACAATCATCAATCAATCATCATTTAGGAGAATACCATCACTTTTATAAATCAAAGTCCCTATTTTTGATTGTTCAAGAGCATATTTTTGAGGGCTCTTTCATATCATGTGCCAAAAACAATCCCGCAAGCTATGGGTCAAAAATTTCGATTCAGGGACTGGAACAAACAGATGTTGGTTCATTTTTGGTGATTAAACAATGTCATTTGGAGGTACCTAATTTGACCTACCCATTTTATAGTGACTCAGTGAACATCTCCAATTTGGATAATGTTCCGTGGCATTTTTCAGTATTTTTCATTGGCTATTTCATGGTTCAATAAACCCGTGGCAAAAAAACATGGATGATGAAGTACCCATGGAACAATCATGGAACCATGGCTCTATCTCACAAAGCACAACATCTCTGGATTAAAAAAATATTGTGTTTCCTCCAAATCGTCCATTTATATAGGATTTTCCATTAGAAACCATTTCATTAGAAACCATCCATTTTGGGGTACCCCCATTTGAGGAAACCCCCATATCTTGAAAAGTGCCCTGGATGTCCCGCCTGTTGGTGCGAATTCACCACCCAAGTGATTCTTCAGCATTACCAGCTGCTCCTGAAGCTTCTCTTGAACCTTCGCGACCGTTTGGATATGGTGATTTCATGGTGATCTAATCAACCAATATGAGAATTTAACCCACAAATATGGTGATACAACGGGGGTATAAAATACATATATATATAACATGTAATCAAATATATTAGATATATTTGGGTATATTGGAACATGGTAATTCAATGATCTACCCATTATCGAAACTAATG